GGGGAATACTAGAAAGGTAATTTCAATAATAAACTCGGACAGCTTGAAAGTATACTCGAAGCATGTTCTTTTGGCTCAATAAGTCACAATTAATTAACTTTTACACCAAGCATGCCTCAGTTTAAGGTTCCAAAACTGAAAACTCAATCATGTGTTTGCACTTTGCATTAATCCGCAAGATATTAAACCTTGTTTTTTATTTTACACATACAAGAATTGCTTAATTAAATCATCAATGGTGGATTAAGCCCTCTAAAAGAGACTAAACCGCATTGGCACTTTTTTTTTCCTCCCTTTTTGTTGGAATTCATTGGCCCTTCTTTGATGGGCCATATGAAATAAAGTAGTTTGGCCCCCCTCAATAATTACACAAAACACTTGTAATGCTCTTTGTGCAAATGGCATACATGCAAATAACTCGAAAGATGGGGTTTTATTGTTGAATTTTGAGGGTATGCGTTGAAAGGGATGGGAAACAAAGATTCGAGTACTTGGCCCCTATATTCTTTGATTGTTGGAGCCACAAAATTGAATTTAAATTATGAAAATGACTTTGCTAGTTTTTTTATTATTATTATTTAAATTATGAAATGAATACGACTTGAAGATGTTGGATATCCATAAAAAATTTTAAGTCAAAGGTTCATGAACGTGGCTTTTGATTAATGGAGGGAAGATTTAAACCCTAAAACCCAAAATTGACTATACTAACCCTTCAACTATTTTGAGGACATGCTTCATATTAGTGATCCTAAAATTCGTGCTTGCCAAAAGACAAAAACAAAAAGGGTATAAGCTTATAATTTTTGGAAAAAAAAGGAAAAATTGAGTTGAGTATGGTAAAAGCCATAACATTCTTTTTACAATTATCTGATTTTTTTTTTTTTTTTGTTAAATACTAAACCCGGAAAATTTTGTGAAATTTGAAAAATTGGAAATGGCAATTTTGTATTTTTAATATATGAACGTCCCGCGGGATACTTAGATTTTTAAATAAGGAAAACGTAATTTCATTTTTTTTTTAATGAACGTACAAACAGATACTTTTAATTAGGTAGAACCATGGTATCATGCTATTTCATTAGCCACAAAACAAAACAAAAAAAAAAAAAAAAAAAAAAAAAACCCCATAGTGTATAATGGTGTAAAGATATAAGTAATTATAACGGTAACGTGGCCCCCTCTAATCAGCAATCAATGGAAGGGAAAAAAAAAAAAAAAAAGAAAAAAGGGAAATGGATAAAGTCAAATACTAGCTCCACCAAATCCCAAATCTAAATGTGCCCCAACAAGATTACCTAATCCTGGCCTGTTGGAACTTAATGGTTGTTGTTTTTTGCTTTGTAATTGCTAAAAGCTTCCTTTTTGCAGCAACATTGTGTCCCCATTTTGGTACAATTTGGTCCATATGGTATTATTGCATACTAAGATCAATAAATGGGATTATAATGCTACCATTTCGGTGAAAAATGTACATTTTTTTCATAATTAACAGGAAAAAAATGAAGTGATAAAATCATAAGTAAGACCAAATAAGTAAAACTTTTCACCCATTATGTGCACAAAATCCGGATAGCACATTACCCACCAAAAACAAAGATAGCATATCATGAAATGGTTCCAAAATTTTGCTGGATAATGATGGTTATCCGTTATGCTACATATTTCCATGTTCTAGCAAAGTTTTAAAGGGAAGGAAGGAAAAAAAACAAAGAGCCTTGTGCATTAGTTTGTAATTAAAGGAGCATGAGACTTAATATTGAACACATGCATTATCACCTAATAATGTCTAAGTAAAAATAAATAAACATATATATAAATATATACATACCAGAATGTTAATTATTTTTAAAAGATGTCTTTATTAGAAACGTAATTTTTAAAAACAAACCCATTAAGAACAAGTCCATATATGTAGAAAGATAATTGGTATGAGAATATATGATTTAATTAACAGTGATTGGCACCCATTTGTATAATCAACATTTGTGTATACCAACAAAAAAAATGTAATACATACAATCAAGTTCACAAGATCCGAGCAAAAATAAATAAATAAATAAAACGGAGCTCACAAACATGCATGCGATCACAAGGACCACGTTAAAATGGCTTTGGGAATGAGTAGATTAGTTTTTTAATCAATAGGATATATCCTTAACTCATCACTATTCCAATTAATAAAGAATTTAGAAACCTTTAATCACCATTATGTTGTTGCCCCAAAAAAAAAAAAAAAAAAAAACAATCTTTAAAGTGCGGTTCTTAGTTCAACTTTATTGGTTCACGCTCGTATACTTAACTTTTTTATAACATGAAAATCCTGACTAGCCTCTAACTTAATCCTATGCCAAAACCACCTTTTCATGGCGAATATATACCACACTTTATTATGCAAAAGTTGAAATGTGATAAAAAGATGTTTTTTTTGTTGTTGTTGGATATTACTCTATTGGTAAGATAAACATCGTTAAAAATGTTACTTTAAAAAAAGGATATTCGTATCTTATCACATAATTCTCGAACTAAAAAAATGCAATAATAATGATAATAATAATAATAATAATAATAAGATTTGCCTGTATATATTTCCATGAATTGGTAGCTCCAAGAACTCGAAATCCTGGCCAAGTGTTGTTAGTATCGATGAGATAGATTGAGCCATGAT